CCCAGTCATAAATATTTCAAATTTACCACAATAGAACATAAAGTACATGAAAATAGCAATTTGGCTTATCTCAGATAGTGCAAAGTGATTCTGGCTGAAATTTTTTGGATCTTCAATTTTCCACTTGCCAGACGTATTGTCCATACTCACAGATTAGCCGGACTATTTTTTTACGTAACTTCGGTATACTTCTCATTAGTAGAACCAAAGAATGAACTATTTTTATCACTGAAAAAAAAGGGCCGTGCATTCGTAAGCTCCGAACGCTTTTTGCGCCTCAATCCATCGGAAAACCCCCCCTAAAAATGTATGAATTTTGCTTAGAAATACTAACCCTACAATTCTATCCATGTTGTATGACTGGGAAAATAAGTGCCGAAAATCGTCACTGCCTCCTAAACTATTGTCAATGTGCATGTTTACGCCATATGACGTTGAGATGCCGCCGATCAACATCATCAACATAGTATTCATCGATTCCATATCGATATATTTCCTTGCTAAATCATCAAACCCATCCGCTGGTAGATCCCCTCTGACGAAAATATTCCTAATATTTTTCTGTTTTTTAACATATTTGTTAGCTCACGAAGGACAAAGTCACGAGCGGAAGAAATCAAGTGATGATTATCCGTCCGTTTGAACACGTTGAGATTAAATCGTACAGGAAATGAAGTAGGTGGCAGGGAGTTCCAGAGGTCGGCAGGACCCATCGCTTCAGATGGGGGAACAAATTCCATACATAGTCTGATTCAAGACCTATAAAAGAGGAGAAGTTTTTCAGAAGTAAAGAAGTATTTTGCACGAAACAAAAAACCTAATTTCTGAGAAGCGGTTTTGGGGATCGAAGATCATGGTCATGCCAACACAAGTTGTTCGATGCGGTCACCCCAAGAATAGATACTGATAGCGATTTCCATTTGTCGAACCAGTGCAAAAAAAATGTATCCTTATCCTTACATGTTACATGTTTTTTTTTTTTTAGAGAAAGATGCGGATACACTCAGTGTTCACTGACTGACAAATGGAAATCGCCATGAGGGATTGATACAAAGGTTTTATCCCGACATCCTCAAAACTGGGTTATCATCGGCAGAAGATTTCTTATTTGAAAATAGTGTTGCCATCAGCTACTATATCGTCTGCAAACCTGTATATGCCTGTATAGGGGTTTTCTTGTCACATTTAACAAATCATTTATAAAAATAAGTTGGGCACATAATTGAAAGCCAGCATTTATAGACAGTAAACACCATCGACCACAACATGCTCTGTCTTAGAAAAAGCTCCCCAGCCAATGGCAAATTTCCTTCGGAATTAGGACCATACGATGGAAGTTTGCTGAGAAGACCTTCGTGCCACACCTAATCAAAAGCAGAGATGTCCAATGCTACAATTCTGGATTCGTTATGTTTTTCGAGATTCAAGTTCCAAATATGAATGACGTAGGTACACCAGTAGTTCCCCTATTGATATTTTAGAATGAAACTCGTAGGTACTGTTTGTCAGACATGAGTTTATCGGCTTCGAGGTTTTTGACCAGTTTCAGCTTGAATGCCTGTTCAATTATTTTCGGAAGTACGGATATAAGTGAGATGGGACGATAATTTCTAGGAAAAGTTTTCTTGCCCTTTTGGTACAAGCGGAACGCAAAAAAAAAAGGAAATTTTCTTGCAGACAGCCCGCCGCTCTGCAGGTCCAGTGCAGAGCTTTAAAGGATTGATTTGATGTCGTTTTCATACAAAAAGAAATCACTGAGATCCTTGAAGTAAAACATGTCGTGAGAGTACTAGTTTCAGTCCCACTTTATAAAAGAGGTTAATTTTGATCCTAAGGCAACCCCTCTGCCGTCAACCGTGTAAAATTTGTTTCATTGCTTATAAACCAATGAAACTTGTTATAAGTGAAGAAGAGTAACAGAATTCATCAAATAATGAACCTAAAGATCAAATAGAACAAGAACAGTTCTCCGAAAAATACCAGATCAAGATCATACTAATCCACATTTGGAGATACCAGACCGAACAGATACAAGTCTGGAAATGACAGATCCGACAGAAAATGAGCATAGAACAGTACAAGAAGACCTAGAACATCAACCTTGAATAAGAAAACAACTGAGAGAGAGAACAGAGCTAAACACTATGTTATGACAGTTGCTGCAGAAATAAGCGAACCACAGAAGCCACTAAGCTACAAAGATGTAATGATAAAGACAATTGGATTTTGGCAATGGATGAAGAAATACAGTCACTACAAGAAAATTGTACTTGGGAGGTTAAGAGGTCAAATTACCACCAGGAAAGAAGGCAATACCATATAAGTGGATCTATAAAGTGAGAACCAATCCAGATGGGTCCATTGACAAGTACAAAGTTCTAGTTATCAAAGGTTGATCACAAAGAAAAGGTGGAGGGGAAGATTAATTATGACCAGACTTGCAGTCCTGTAGCCAAAGGAGAAACAATTAGGTCACTTCTCAGTAGTGCTGCTAGCAAGAATATGACACTCACTCAGTTGGATGTATGTACTGCATTTCTCTATGAAAAACTAAATATTTAAATCTATATGAAGCAACCAGAGGGGTATGAAGATGGAAGTAACATGGTCTGTAAACTTCAGCGCACTTTTTATGGACTAGAACAAGCGCCTAGATGTTGGAATCAAAGACTCACCTATTACATAGATGTTCTTGCTTTTAGAAGATCAGACACCGACCCTTGTTTCTTTGGAAAGAAAGTTGAAGAAGACACACTTCTACTAGTATACTATGTGACGTCACAAACAAGTAGTTGTAACTTTGAACCGCTCTAACTCGAAAACGGACCATCGTAGCAAGATGCGGTTTAAATATTTATTTTATTCTTAGATTTTTTTGCACTAAAACTTTCATTGCTGGGTCACACCCGCTTTAAGATTAGTTTGATATATAAACCAGGAGTACTAAAAGAAATTGAAGCCTTCAGTGACGCAGACCATGATGGCGATGAAACCACGGGAGTTTCAAGTATGTTTACTGATGGGGCAACCACGTGGCTAAGCCAAAGACAGATATCAGTTGCCCTATCAAACGATTAAAGCTGAAATAGTGGCGGCTAGCGAAGCTGATAAGGAAATTGGGTGAATAGAACGCTTATTTGATGAAATTCTGGACTTAAAATCAATTCCATTACTGAAAGTTGACAACGAAGCTGCAACTAAATTGACCCAGAATCCTAAGTTCCATCGACGATCCAAACATATTCACATCAGACACTTCTTTCTCCGTGAGCTGGTAATAGGTAGCCGAATAAAAGTTGAAAAAGTTTCATCTGAGAATCAACTTGCGAATCTCATGATAATAAAGAAATATCGTCATTAAATGTGTACTTTTCATTCTTCAAAGCCCTAAGATTCGTTCCATTATAATATGTAGTGTAACATTCCGGCAATGGTGCCAAATTTTACCAGGATTGAGAATAATTGGTAATATAGTGGTAATAGTGCTTATTCGGCATCAAAATGTTTTTTTTTTTTATTCTAAAAAGCAACCCTGATTTATATTGGTATTCTCGCACTCTTTTGGCCTGCTAGTATACAAGCATAAGTAAATTTTGTATTTAAACTATTACCTAACTGAAGACGTACCAAAAATATTTTTTAGTGCCAAGCTAGAATTTACATAAGCTGATATATTGTTAGAAAGAAACCGTTCTGCTAAATTTATTACCATCTACCCAATTTTCATCAAATAAGTACTCTGTCTCTAATAAACGCAAGCCGATACCTACTTCTTGAGAAATTCCTAACAGACATGAACAAAGTTTGCATAATTAGGTATTCCTAGTACCCTAGTAGCTAAACGAAAAAATCAAGTTGGTATATTAATTTTCCAATGGAAAGCAATATGCGAATAATAAAATTTTGGTTTGCTAGAAGAAGCCAATGATTGATGCACACAACTGCTATATTGTCCCGTAGTTTGCTGGAAAAATGTGTCCATCATGCGAGAAAATGAATAGACGGTGGTTGAATGCATAAGGACCGCTACTTGAGAATTAGAATATTTGAAGCTAGGTACCTATGCGGGTCCTCGTGTCGGGGTCGACATTATGCGAGCTGAGTTTATTTTGGAGTGCGTCACAACATTATTAATACCTAATACCTATACAGAACGTCCAGAACTTGGGATCCTAATCAATTGTTGAAGCCGAGCATGACTATCCGCTTATATAGGTACTATTATTTTTTTATTATTTATTTATTTATTCACGTATAAAAAATACATACATTTGCAGTGGTACAAAGTTTAAATCAACCTAAAACAATTCTCTTGGCCCGCGTCTTGAATTTATCTTGAGATAACCTAAAGAAGTCAAGACTCTCATAGAACTTATTTACATTGGCAGATATTCTATTAACAGGACTAAATAGTAAGTACCAAGTACGACAGTAAGGAATGTGCAGTAAAAATTTGCTTCGTTTCCGATAACTGAGTGTAGATAGAAACATCCAAGACATTCGTGGCTTTTTATGTAGTAGTTAAGGATATTAAAAGCAAAACAGACATCAAAGTATTTCCTTCTGCGAACAAGAGTAGTTAAGTCTAAGTAAGTCATACTTAGTCTGGTCAACGCTGAGAATCACACCACTCAGAGACAGTTCTGAGTCCAGAATGTCAGGCTGGAGCTAGAATTCTGGCAATAATATGAATTCCAGAGGATGCTATTGTAAAAGTTGCAGGTTTTTGAACAGAGGCCCCGATTATTCTGATAGAAGCAGGCGGCGGAAGATCAAGTTTTTTGTAGATATCGTTAAAACCCCGTAAGACCCAGGTTCTCTTTCCCACCAGCATGCGAAAGCTATACTTCCCCTTTAGTATCACGAAGTTGCTTTAGTTGGGCTGGGGATAGGTCAGGAACATGAAACAGTTTCCAAATTTTTCGAGTTTTGAAGGCTTTCGAGTGCATCAAAAATCTGTTGAGACTTGAGACAAGAATTTTCAAAAATAAAACACATTTTTAAACAGAATACTTATAATATTAATTAATTTACAAAAGAAATAATATTGCATAGATATAATACAATTAAGTTTACATACATATAAGTACATTGTGCCAGTTTTAGAGCGAATGCGTGCTCAATGAAGGGGAAATAAATACAAATAGGAAATATATAGCTTCTGGCTACTATTTTCTAAAAAAACTTTTGTTTTTTTCACTAGGTATAGTAAGTACATACATTCATGATCTCATCTACTGTTACAATTATGGAATATTGTTGGGTTAGGAAATCTGTAAACCACACAATATTTCAATATTTACCATCCCCTACCAAAAAAATCAGAAAAAAAAAATATGGTTGTAAAGTACCATTAATAAATTATTTGCATGGAATGATGTTTTAAAAAATTAAGTAAAGTAATACCTACTATCAATAAATGCCATAAAATCAATTGGAGGAAAAAGACTTGTTCCAATCTTGACATGAAACGTTAAAAAACAGACATTTCTCTTCACAACCGTTTCCAAACGCTTTTTGGCTAAATTGGAACAAAGAGAAAAAATTAATAAATGCATTGTATAGGAAAACGGTGTTAAAACCATCTCAACCGACAATATTGTCCAAATTTAGCAGTCCATTCACATTTTTCATCTTTAAACACTATTCTAAATTAACATTGGTCAGGCGCCTTGAGTCAGTTAGTTACATGGAACAAAGCATCTTTTTTTATCTAAATAAAATTGCAAAATTGATTGAGGGCAAATTTCAGAATGAAAAAATAGTCCATGAAACACCAACGATCCAAAGGGTTTAGATTTTACGGAAATAATTATTTCAATATACTGTAGTTTTGTAGATAAGTTTGCGCAAAATTTCCAAAATTCCATGTTTCTAACATATCTACTAGTTAAAGCATAGATACATTTGGAACGATAATGAATTCTTATTATTCTTTTATATTAATGTGCATTTACTTACTCCATATGGAAATATTTTTGTGTGAAAACACCGAAACACCACGTATTTGAGCTAATCAATCTTGATTTTTCGTTTACTTTTTTATTGCTAGATAAATATTATTTTTAGTTCGTAATTCTCAATAAAATATTTGCTTGCGCATTTTTCAAATTTATGTACAATAATTGCAACTTTCAGTCCTGGCATTATGACCATTTCGTCTTTAATGAGATATGTTATTAGGTATCACTCATTTTTGTGTGGACCAAAGGAAACATAAAAAATTGTTAAACTTTTGAATATTTCGAAAAACTAATTAAGTATCTGAGTGGCTATATTACAAATTAATTAATTGATTTAAGCACATTTTTATAAGTACTCCTTTGATTAAACCTTATGGAGAAAATATAGTCTCTACACAATTAGGACAAATATTCTGATTCATATAAACAAATAAATACAACAGACAACAATAATAGTCATAAACTCTCTCTAAACAAATTATTTTATAAGTAACACATTCTCTCGAAAAAAAAACTGAAAATATCATAGATATAGTTTTAGCAGCCTGTAATTTTGTGTAACTATACTGAAAAATGTTTAGGTGATAAAAAAAATTAATGAATCGATTCTTTTAAAGAAGTGAACAGGAAAATTACTCTTCTACCTACTCTCAAAGGCTACTCATCTTTTTATGTGTTTTCAGTGAAACTCTCCTGATAGAATGGCATGTATCTGCCATTAAAATTCTATACCTACTTATTTTAAAATATCGAATTTGCTGATAACTGTACTGTACTTTTATATTGCAACATTCGCCTAAAGTTGGATCTGGAAAGCTTTGGGAGGCGTAGGGGCTGGATTCAAAAAGGGATTTGTGTTGCTGGAACCTTGTCGTGCTGCTATTTCCGCCCATTCTGCATCGAATGGGTCTGGTTTTGTTGATCGAAAGCTTTCTGAACCCGTGTCTAGGCTCATTGTTCTGAAATAACAGAAAGGCAATATTAGAAACAACAATCTGATTGGTTCTATTTAGTTTTTAATCTTGGTTCAATGAAAATAAGTTCACCTAGAATGAGATCCAAATGAGGGTGTCCGTTTAGGTGTAGATCCTTCTAATCGTCCCGGTACAGGGCTAGTACTTTTTACGATCTGTCCCAACCATTGCTCAGGTTTAGGCAAATTACTAACCGTACTAGAGGCTGTACTTGTATTCAAACTGGAACTAATACTGGCGGCTTGTGAACGAATTGTACTATTCCTTATGGGTGACGAATTTACTATGGAATTGGTCTGGACTATCGAACTTGTATTCACTGTTGCGCTCCTGAAGAAACAATAACCCAGATGATTTTTCCAATTTCAGATTTTTTTCGTTAATATCCTTACCTATTGAAGTTTGGACTAAAACTTAACTTGACTGGCGATATACCAGTTGAGTTGGCAGTTGGAGTAGAATTTATAGACTGGTTGTAAGTACTGTTCATTGTAGTTAGGTTCAGATTAACTGTGTTTTGATTTAGTGAAGTGGTGTTGTTAAAATTAAAGTCGTCCGACCCGCTGTGGGTCAGCTGGCTGAGACCTTGTGAGAGCTGCTGGCAAAGAGCTGTAACAGAATCAGCTGGAGAAACCTGTAAAGAAAACATGTTAGCCAAGATAGCCTAATTATTATCTTTGGTGGTTTTTATTCAAACGTAATTAAAAGTTTAGAGAAGCAAATAATTTACTACTTTCGTTTCGTTTGAGTATTGGAACATCAAATTTCATTTCTACAATCTGCAATTGGGATATAGATAAATACTTCAGGAGCGACGTCCCTAAGACCCACATCATGAGCTTAAGACACTGGAAAAACTTGTCGATAGGCACATTAGGGACGGAGTATTGGCAAACAGACCAATATGCGTCTCGGACAGGGGTGTCAACAGAAATACTGCTTCACCAGCTGGTCAGCATTGTGGAGACCACACTGGCAATCAAAGAGGTCATGGTGGGTTCCTTCTTGGTTATAGAGGGAGCTTTTGACAACATTTCTTTCGATTCAATAACATCTCTCAAGCACGAAGGAGTTGAGCACACTTGCTGTGTGTGGATCAACTCCATGCTAAGAGAAAGAATGGTAGAAACCACCATCGCAGAGGATACACTGGCGGCCAGGATGTACAGGGGATGCCCACAGGGCGGGTTATTATCCCCACTCCTGTGGAATCTAGTGGCGGACGGCTTGCTTAAGGTGCTTACTGACGGAGGACACCGTGCCCTCGGATATGTTGACGACATAGACATCATCTCACGAGGCAAATTCAACTCTACAGTTAGGGAGCGAATGCAAGACGCTTTAGACCGAACAACAAGATGGGTGGATAGAGAAGGGCTTAACATTAGTCCCAACAAATTCACCATCTTGGCATTTACCCGAAGGCATAAAATACAAGACCTAGGACCTCTTAGATTAAGGGGTGAAAATATACAGATTTCGAGTGAGGTTAAGTACTTGGGAGTAACACTGAACTCAAAACTTACCTGGAATCAACATCTGGAAAACACCACCAAAAAAGCAGTAACATCACTCATGATATCCAGACGCTTGCATGGAAAATTATTGGGCTTAAGACATGCTGTATTGGAAATATAACATGATGGTCAAACGTATCTTGACATACGCCTCCCTGAGTCCTTATTCTTAAATCAGGAGAGCAGTGTTTCCAGGAAAACAAGTGTTCCGTCTTTCTCAATGATATGCAAATGATAATATAAGTAACAAAGATGGAACACTCGTTCTCCCGGAAACGCTGCTCCCCTGTTTCAAGAATAGGACTCCTGGTGCCCAAAACACTACAAGGAAGTGTCATACGTCAACTTAGCAAAGTGCAAGGACAGGCCTGCTCAGGAATAACGGGGTCAATGCGATCCACACCCAAGGATGATACACACTACTACTACAGGATGGCCTATCCTCATAAGGCCTGTGTGTAACAAGTCCCCCCCTCGTAAAAATACCAGTTGTGACGTAGGCAGCATGGTATTTCTCGCCTTCACGTAGGCTGTTTAAACAGCTGACGATTTAGTTATGAACTGTTTTGGAATTCTGTGATCTGTGGCTTGTTTTGGTTATTTTGGTTTTGGTTCTGAATCGGTTCAGAATTAATATTAGATCAGTCCTCCATTATTTTTTGTGCGCAAGCAGTTCTGCGCAATCAAAACAAAGCTATAGTGATACAGGAGGAGGCAAGGATGGGAGCGTACATACTTCAGCTGACAACTGCCTCCAACAAAAGGATGGGACACATATGGCAATCGAAGAACTCGTGGGGGAGTGATTCTCAACATGAGGACCGACTACATGCCAAGACGATACTGCCTGAACAGACCATTCGAGGTGAGCTTCCCAAGCAGAACTGAATGGGAACATGGGATACCGGAGACCAAAGAACAGGACCAGATCTGGTACACAGACGGGTCGAAGAACACGTCTGGTAACAAAGCAGGGGTATACTCTGCCAACTATAGCGATCACTATGCATTGGGAAGACATGCCTCTGTTTTTCAAGCAGAGGTATACACTATACTCCAATGCGCAGCGGAGAACAACAGGAGAGCCACGGCCAACAGGCAGATCCTAATAATATCTGATAGTCAAGCGACACTGAAGGCCCTTTCAAGCCAGACAGTGTCGTCAAGACTAGTATGAGAATGTCAGGAAGAACTCAGGGCCCTGGCGGACCAGAATAAGGTGAAACTTATCTGGGTGCCAGGACATAAAGGAATGAAAGGCAATGAAAAAGTCGATGAACTCGCAAAGCGAGGGTCAGAGACAGAACTTATCGGACCAGAACCGGCTCTAGGGATACCAAAAAGTATGACCAGAAGCCACACCAAAGACCGGATTCGTAAAGAACATCGGCGACACTGGACAACTTCCAGGCAGAATCATGGTAGGGAATTCATCGACCAACCATGCAGCAAAAGGGCCGCAGAATTGCTACAATGAGCAGCAGCCGAGTGAGAACCATAACGGGACTCTTGACCGGCCACACACCAGTAAAGGTCCACCTGAACAGGATGAACCTGTACGACTCTGCATTGCAGAAGACAAAGCATTTTCGGGCAACTAAACGTAGACCCGGAAACAATAATGAAACACTACCCAGTAAAATACCTGTACAACCTCGTACAAGGCACAAAAATACTGGAGTGGTTGGAATAAACCATGCAGGCCAAGTACAATAAGCCTTCTCAGGCTTCAGTGCTGCATGGGGACAATAAGTCGGACAGGCCTGGAACAAGGGAAAAAAAAATACCTCAGGAATCGGTGAAGCTGGTTTCAATTCCTTCAATCCATTACTGGGAGGAGATGTCGGAGACTTGTATTGGTTCAAACGGGCGGTATTGCTGGGCAATTCGTTGACTCGCAATGACATCTGCCTCTTGAATGGTGAGTTTTGACCCAGAGTACTGAATCCTCTACAACTTCCTTGACGCTGCAACAAACTTGGAGTGGCGTGGGGTCGTTCGATGGCAAAGGGGTTCGCTTGTTGTGGTTGCTGAGATGTTTTGGCAGCGGATACAACATCAACCTGAAGATTAAGAAATATGATGTAAGGGTTTATGTGCCAATACATTTAATGTTCTATTTAAAAAACGATCCATCATTCCTTAAAAATATAGTCCAAGTCAAGTTATCCATTTTTTTAAGGATTTAATTGATGAAACTTTTTTGACAAATAGAATTCTTACTTTCTTATCTTTAAAAAGTTCCGCTTTTATCTATTATATCAAAGATCTAAGGATCGATATCAACCTACTTTTTATCTGAAGTACCTATTTCACAAAAAAAAGCATCTTGAGATATCAGATATGAGATTTTTTTATTCTGATTTTATGGTATCTGATAATATTAAAAGTTGGCTTTTCACATCTAGGTTCTGCAACTTTTGCAAACAATTATTGTTGACCACAATTAATGTACCTACAGTATAGATGTTTATGAAAAACACCTCCTGTTGATTCTTATATGCTATATTATTTCATTACTAAATCCACTTACTGCTCTTTCAGTTATACTCTGTTGCCTGAATGAACCTGTTCGTGTAAAAGTGGAACTCTTGGCATCAAACATCATTGTAACCCCACATTCTTTGTCCCGTTTTTGTTTCCTCTCCAAGCATACAGCAAATGCACAGCCTACAGCATGACTCATTCGCTCTCCCGACTCACGGAGTGCTAAAAAGCCATGACACATCCATCTAGAGAAAAATAAATAATGTTAACCTTAACCATAATGAAAAGGGGGTTTTTAAATGTTAAATTGAACCTGGCGAAAGGTATTTACCAACACTCCAATAGAACTAAGATTTTAAATAGGTTTTCAGAAGCACACAAATAATGTGTATGCATAAAGAAGATTTTTTATTTATTTTTCAAAATATAATAAAATTGTTAATAAATATGGCTTCTACCAAGGCAATTATTTATAGAAGCTGATTAAAATACTCGGTTTCAAGGGTTCTTTGAACCAACAAACCAACAAATGCTAATAATATTTTAGACATGCCTTTCCGATATTGTCAGCAACAAAGAACCATGTAATTTCTAGGAAAAATGTTACAGGTTGCATGGTTCAGTGCAAATGATTCACCAAACTGTACATTTTATTATTAATTTGAATTTGTCATCGCAAAATATTTAATTTAGTTTTTAATAATTCTCTAGTGATGAGAAAATGATTCATTACATTACACTTTCAATAGGATATTGTTTGAAGATTATATATATCACATAAAAATGTGCATTATCTTGTGTGTATTTATAAAGTTCATGTTTTTACCTTCTTGTTGTTCCATCTCTACAAATATAGCTAAATCCTCTCTCGTGGTTTCTATCCGGAGCGCAAAAAGATACTTTTTCGATAGTTTGATCCACAATCAATCCTTTGGTTTCCTCTTCTACAACTCGTAAACCGTCACCACTAACATGAAGTACTGCGCGGATTGGTCTTCTTCGTGAACCCTAAAACATTGGGACATCTATTAATGTTGTCGTTGTCAGTAGCTTTGGAAGATTTGCGATTTCTTATGACTAAGCGATTGTCAGTGATACGGTTTCGCTCATCTTCGCCTAAATTTTAAGATATATGTTTTCGTTTCTTCTGCATATGGGGCGAAATCGTGAATTTTCTCAGAAGCAACATCAAGAAAACATGAAGTAGGTATTTGAATTGTGGCTGTATTGAAACCTTAGTGGATCATGGGAGTTACCAATGTTGCTGTTCTGGGAATTCTTCACACAGAGAAAACTGGAAAGTTGGAATACATCGATAGTAATAGTTTAATCAGAGTTTTAGAAGACCGTGGTTCCTGGAAGAAGAATCTCCTGGTTTGAAAATTGAAAAAAAAGAACGGTTTAATATGTCATTCATAAGGTAGATATGAAATGAGCGCCAATATTTATTTGATAACACATCCCAGAAAATGAAAGACAAACTCAAAAACTCCATTTTTAAAATATTTCTTAGCTTGGTAGTCTTGGTACACATACTCTGATTTGGAAAGCCCCAATAAAGTACCTAGCATAAGAATGGGTATTTTGATAAAATTTCCTGAAATATCTCCAAACGGGTGTTGGGCTGTATCAATGATACAAAAAACAACAAAAGAAATTTGAGTGCAACAACAGTATCGACTATTCAAAAAACAAATAAATATTTCAGATGGTTTTTGGACGCATTGAAACGAACTAATAAATCCTTCTTCAAATTTTAATTTTCAAACATCAACGAATCATTTGTCCTCATAATTTGGGAAAGCTTTGCATAAAATTGTCGACAGGCAATCATTAATCAACACCCGGCTGAAATTAAACTTTTAATAAATTTGGTCAGTTGCAAAATTATTGAAATTTATCTGTGAGAAAAAAATAATTGGCATAAATTGTCAAAATCAGCCCTCTAGTAAAAACCCAGCAGGGAACAAATGTATTGACCCATTCTCATGTCCAAAAAGTCTGGGTTCCCCTTCTAGCCTAGTAAACTGTGACCTTTCTTCCCTCTTTTTTTCTAATAATAAATTCACCCCTCTTCCTTATTTATACCAGCAGACAATTTTCTACCCTTGGTATAAAGATTTCAGATGCTGGGGCCCTTCTTAAATTAACCGAACATTCTTTATTAATGTGGGAAAAAAATTAGGACTGATATTGATATTGTAGTTCAGCTACATTTACAGGTAGGAACCTTCTGTTATATTTATAATGGATTGTACAACACTGATAAGGTAATCTTTTATTGATTTTAGGCCTTTTTCTTGTGCGACTTTTTTTGTGTCTAGACTGTTTACACATAAATACTACTTAGATATTTTTTCTTCTTTTTTTCGGTTTCTTGAATTATTACATCTTGAACTTTTCTAGCTATAAAATGTGAACGAACATCGTACTTACGCTGCCTACTCTCAAGACTTTGAGTGCCTCCTCACAAACTTGCATCCCTCTCGAATCAAAAACTTCCACACATCCCAAATATTTTACGGCAAACGTACAAGTACCGGATCTAAAAGAAAATTTCAAGATACTTTAGGTGAAATTGTGCTTTCAAATATAATGGGTTAATATTACCTAACTGCAGCTTCATCCGCCGACCATTGATGAGGCTTCGAACTTTCCGGAACTCGGTCCTTTCTTCTTCGGAACGAATCTCTGAAAGACCTTCGTAACCGGTCCATTTTCCGAGGAGAACGGAGGCTCCGTCTCTGAAAAGAAAATTAAGAAAATTAGTTTCCGCCAATTCAAGCACAGATTTAGCACGCACGCATACACACACACACGCATATCAGAGGTTTTATTGACCTTTGTATGATTTTTAAAGGCTCCTAACGGGATTAAATGAAAATGAATATCACGCGATTCCGAGGCAATTTGATTGAATCATCAGAGAATTTAATTTTGATTTCATGATTATAAATTATGTCTCGGCTTATTGGTAATTTCAAGGGTAATTTAGTTTATCTATCGTGCGGTGCTGGGGCAAAATTAATTTTGTTGTGTTGCATCCTTGGGGACTATCAGCTGATCTTATTATACAGCAGCCTTCAGCAGCATTAGAATTGATATTATCTTATAATGGGATTTTCGATAAAATAAATATTATTAAAAATGTGTTAAAAATAATAAGTGTTTATAGTATGGATAAATATAGGTAAGAGGTATAGTCCGTCATAGAATGTTAAATATTAGAGCATTTGCAAAATTTAAAAAATACAAATAGGCCAGGCAACATATAGGGTTCGTAGGCAAATTAATTCTCGAAATAGTTTTAATCTTTTCATTGACGTGTAAAAAGAGTTTTTTGAAGTTTGCACAAATTTTCTGCTCGTGGGTGTCCCAAAAACCTTTTCTCAGTTTTTCACTTATAACACCTAAGCGATGCATTTCTAGGAAATTTTTACTCCTCTATAAATTAAAGTACATAAAGAGATAGATAGAGTACCTACCATATTATACTAAGCTTTTTGCTCATTTTCGCAATGTTATATTGAATGTAACAAATAAGATGAAAGTTTTTAACATTTCGATATCCTATAGGTAGTATCATCGGATCGTATATGCGAACGGTGGTTAACAAAAAATAAATGACAAATACAAAATTATATAAATACAACGTCGACTGGATTTGCTGCCTTTGGGAGTAGAAAGAAGAAGCTGACGGAAGAAATTGGTCCAATTTAAAGACATCCTCATCCAGAAGGTCTTCCAATATGTCATCTTCATCAGGTAGACATACTTCGTCGTCATTAAAGTTTGTATCGTCATCGATATCATCTGGTGTGTGGAAGCAGGATGCTCCTCTGCGCAGTTAAAACATATTGGGAAACATTTCATTCCTTGCTTCCTGCAACCACAAGCTTTCTGACACCCCTCCAAATATTTGCACGCAGTGTTATCAAGCAATTCCTGCGGGGCTTGTTCGGCTATTGATGTTACTGGGAGTATGCTTAGTAATCTTCTAACCCCAATGAAGTGACTCCATCATATGACCATTCCACAAAATCTTGTAGGAAATCCATCATTGCATGCAGTCTAGCATCTTCTTCAGTTTGAGGAGGGGTAGCAATGTTGAAATTATTCTGTACTAAGGATTTCGTGAACAGTTTAAAGCGTATTTCATTCAAGGACGAAGATTGAAGAACTGATTTGGCATACAAAGCCACAATTAGTTTTTCACCGGCAACATCAATTCTATCTGCGGTCGCGTCAAGGGTTTTGAATATCTCAATAGTCCGCTTCAGTCAATGTTTATTCATAAATTTGCTGTGTCTATTCTCGAAACCGGGGAACAGCGTTCCCACGAGAACGATTGCTCTGTCTTTGTCAGTGTTATGGAAATATAAATATGGGCGACTAAGACAAAACCTTCATTCTTATGAGAACGCTGTTCCCCGGTTTCGAGAATAGACATCCAGGTGAAAACATCGCCGTCGAACAAGCTGCAGAGGATGCTGACACAACCATCAACCATCGTTCGAAGGGCTACAGAAAATGCTACACACTCCGCATGTGTGATTCTAATAGGAGAAGTAGATGTTTTGATAATTATTACTGAGCTCCTAATAGCGATCGGTTGATTTTGATGAAGCCTGGAAAAGGAAGGCCAGAGACCATCTTCTATTTCCCGAAACACTTCAATATGTTAAATAAAGTGAAAGAAAATATATTATTCCTTCGTGCATTCAGCGGATGCAATTCAGCCATTTTCAGGCAGGGGAAGAAGAAGTTTGTAAAGCTGCTTGACAAAGATGCGGACGTACGACGGACTGTCGAGATATTCAAAAACCTTGACGCGACTGCAGATGAAATTGGTGCTGCCGGTGAAAAAGTAATTGCCGTATTTGTATGACAGATAACTTCTGCAATCTTCCACTTTGAATGAAACACGCTTTGAACTGTTCACTAAATCCTAAGTACAGAATAATTTTAACTTGGCTACTCTTCCTCCAAATGAAGAAGCTGCTTGACTGTATGCAATGAGGGCTTTCCTACAAGATAACATTGGCGAAAATAAGTAAGAATTTTTTTTTTTTTTTAATGGGAGATATCGTCGCTGTTTGACTTCGCATATTTTCCTAACCACTTCGGACAATTTTGAGTATATATGATGCTCATTCGACGCAGAATTTTGTGTACTTTAATTTATAGAAGAATAAAAATTTCCTTGAAATGCATCCTTTAGGAGGTATCAGGGAAAACTGTGAAAAGTCAGGAAATGTCCAGGTTTTTGGGACACTCCCTATAGAGCACAAGCAGAATACACGTAAATGAAAAGATTAAAACCATTTCCAGTTTTCCGAGAATTAATTCGGCTACACCCCCTTATTTGGCCTATGTTGCCTGGCCTAAAATGTTCAAGAAAATATATTACAATTTTATATCATGTATGGCTTTTAGAAAATTAGGTTTTTTGAAAGGGTGTTCAGTGTCTTATTTTTCGGTTGGGAAAGTCAAAATTCCGCATGGTATATGTTCGTTTCTGGAATAATAAAGTTTAAAATGTTCATTAAGACAATAGCAGTATGCTGGATCATTTAAATATACTTCAAACCAGCCATAGGATTCTAATGGAAAAAATCGTCCGCTAAAGCCAGAAAATAACATCATTTCAAGCAACATATTGACGAAACATCTTGTTTGACCCTTCAACGCGACGAAAGGGTGGAGAAGCTATAAAAGTCCGTCAAAAATAATATTGAGATACCATAACAGTGCTGACAGATTCCCTTGAAGGTAGGTGATCGAAAACTATAAGTATACATTAGTTTTTGTGCAAAGTCAACTTCAATCCAAAGAAACAATGACACTTTTCAAAGGGGTTATTTTTTTGACAGTGTACCCGAACAAATATGTGCATTTATAGGAATTTTTTGCGACTTCTACTTGATAATCTAATCTTGAGTCTTTCATATAATTTATTATTTTCCGGTCTTCATTTGAAAATTAATTTCCACGAAGTGTGATTCAATATAACTCCAAGGCCCATTTTATTCATCTTCAGATAAACTTACTGGTATAGTATTTTTATTCTGACTTGAAACACTGCATTATACGAGGCTATTTCAGCATCACGTCGCTCTCTTCATTAACTTCATAGAAAATCTATTGTAAGTTTCCTGTACAAAATATAATCAGCGAGGAAATATCGCTATAGTAGCCCAAAATTGATGTCGGCACGTGCCTATAGGTTGAATTATTTGGGTGGGCTACTAACCTACGTCTCCTCCACGAGAAGGATACAGGTGCCTGGCTGACTAGACTACGCAATTTCTATAACCAGTGTCATCCCAATTTATATATTTTTTGCTGTTTTATTCCACGTATTATTTAGTTGTGTTGTTTCATATTGATTATCACCATTTAAATAAATAAAAATTATGTGACGCCCATGTCCTTTATTTGTTTGATCTATACCGACTAGATGTTTTTTTTTAGTGTTTGAATTCGGATTAAAAATACTATAACTATCTGCAAGTTGTATCGTTCTGTGATTCTATTGGTCGGCAGATAACTGGCCGACCAATAGGATTACAGATTGCGTTTTTATCTGTCAGATTGCATACCTAACAGTTTTTCAGAAGGTGAATAAACCGGCCCTGAGAGATATTATCTCACACATTTTTTTTTTCCTATGAATAAATTTAGTTGGTTTACCTACTGGCAGGATACATTTCAAAATTTTACTATATACCTTCATTGTTTTAGTCTAAGGTACAAATGACTTGTAGGTACAAAGAACTTTAAAGCCGTAACGGGTCCCCAGACATGAAAGAAAAGAAAGTGCAGTTAACAATACTTATGAGTCTCAAGATATTTCCTGGACTATTTGACTGCCATAAAATCTTAATAATGCCACCGCAGCTCGTAAAACCTCATAAATTTGCAACCTTTTCAGGCAGGGCCGCCCGTTAATATTTTACTTATCACACTAAAATATTTTACTTGTCACACTAATAACCATACCATTGTTAAGATTATTATTTTCCAATTATGTATTCTTTTGGGAGAAACTGTTTAAAATTACCTACCTGAAAGTTAAACGGTTCTTAATACCAGGCCATGTTGCAACAGCAGCAAAGCGGAAATTCAAAATAGCTAATGAATGATGTATACCGAATGTCTACGAGATCAGTTTCGCCCTGGCAATTGTTTTTTTTTTTTTTTTTTCAATGGCATCGAGTTTTGGTATAGGGTGAAACTTTGTGATTTCAAATGACATCCCAAGAATGTTTTCGCAGTTTTGGGATCTGCGAATCATGATGTGCATAAAAACGTCAAATTTGAACCCTTTTGAAGAAATTCCAGAATTCTCAAAATTTAGTTTTGAATAGAAAGTGACATAATGATCTTAAAATTGTTTTTTTTTTCAAATCACACAAACGTAGATAGATGGGAATGCCATGTTGTTATCCTTTGCTTGTTTTCCAAAGTTGAGAAAATCACATTTTACGTGATAACTCAATGAAATCACCCAACTTTCACAACAAGAGTTTTCCACCTTTTTCAAAATAAAACCAACTGGGCATTAAAACTTTTCATTTATGCCAGTTTTTATATATTTTGGTATATTGTTTATTATGATTTATTATTCCTTATAATGTTTTATTGATAAAAATCGATATGCCCTAAATAAATAAGTCATTTAAGTGAAGTCCGCTCCTGGACGCATATATCGTGTTTTGAAACCTGAATAATGGGGTTCAAT